GCAAAACATTTCAGAAACTGTATGTATCAAATATGATACATTTGGCATTATAGGGTTAAATGTAAGTTTGTAAAAATAAATCAGTTTCAACTAAATTTGTGGTTAAAGGGTTAAATAAAATCCTTTTTTTTTTTAAATCTTTCAAACTTTGACTTGTCGAGCATCAGCATAATAAAAATGATCTCAAATTTAAAGCAGGAAAACTTTCTTAAACCTCCTCTAATCTCTCTTATCTTTAAAGTCTTGGCTGTTTTTCATTTTCTCTCAATTATAACATAAAAGAAAAAGATCTCAAAGTGTCTCTTCTTTTTATCCGCTCCTCTCTGGTCACCTCATCCCTTCAGATTCCTCTTGATTGACAGCCCTCAGGATGCAGGGGCTGTGCCAGAGTTTTGGCAAAGCTGTAACAGCTTAAAAACAAATTTCAGAAGTTTATGGAGATGAGAAGGATCCTGGGGATCACCAAACACGCCTTACATCCTTCAAAGCCGGCGCTCCGTCGCATCGAGCAAACGCACAGAAAAACAACACATTACCTTGACTGATGCTTTTTGGTCTTTATGTGAATTCACATTCCTTGTAATGATGTGAGCGTTACCACGGAGATTGTAGATAGCTTGAAATTTCAAACACAAGCCAGTTTAGTGACTTCTATCATCGGCGATCATGTCAGCACATAAAGACTAGATATAAATGGTGCTAACAGCGGCAAAATTGATTGCAATCCGGACGGCCTAACTGGGAATAAATCGACTTCTCTCTGCTCATTGCTGTCTCCCCCTTCCTCCGTTTGTCAGGAGTGATTTGCTATCATACAGCACATTCGTTCTGATTAGTCTGATCAATAGTCTGATAGCGGGTCTCTCTGGAGAATCAGCAGAAGCGACGTGTCGAGGCGATACATGGGGCCCCTCCTGTCCAAGCTTTCTAACTGGCCTGCCTCAGCAATGTCCCTCTTTTTTAGGAAACAGAGTTTTGTTTTCTGCTGGTTTACTTACCTCCTACTTTAAAGCCTGGCAGCGTTTGCCCTTGCAGGTTTGAGCATCTAACATTTCCAGATGAGGTTATGAAACTGGGCCAATGCGGTGCAAAAAGAAGGAGCCAATATGAGGCCGTCTGACAGAGCGGCAGTTCTAAGTGCTTCTAAGTATTCATTCAATACAATTCAGTTCAATCTTAAAAACTCACAGAAAAAGACAATTAAAGGAAATGTATCGATACAATTACTTGCTCTTTGGCGCTCAGACCTCGACAGGAAACATAGCGCTGAATTTTGATAGATATGCATGAACAGGAGTAAAGGACAGGGCTGTTTCCCCCCAGGTCTGAAACTGGTGGTGGAGTGGAGATAGATGAAGTTGGTCAGTCTGTAGACTGCTGGTTAGCGAGACGGTATGCTGAGCTTTATGGGGCGATCCAGTAGACTGCGTGAGCTGATACTAGAGCTTCACTCAGGGACCTGGAAGATGGAAGTCCAGTTTGGATAACACAGTTTGAGAGAACCTGTTCATGCTGAGTGACAGTGGAGAGGAAAAACTCCCCATTGGGAGGAAACCTCTGACAGAACCAGGCTCAACATTGTAGTCTTCTGCAGGACCGGTTTAAATGCGACGCGGAATGCAGTAAGAGTCTGGGAGGAATGAAACTCTAAAGACGTTTTAGCTACAATGGTGGAGGAGGGGCTGGAGTTAGGTTGAAACGGTGTCATCTCATTAAAGTCACACAGCACAACCACCACCTGCACACAGGAGCAGACAAGTTTCGTATCGGAGGCCTTTTAAGATGAACTTCGGACGCTGATTGGCTTTCGTGGAGGCTTGGCTTAAAGCTGATTGGCTGTGTCGTAGGCGGATGAAGGCGAGTAATTAGTTTATTCAGTTGAACTGGCGCCTAGGCTCCATTTTATCTATATAGTCATTGTTTTGGGTAGGCTTTTGGCCCACATGCAGAACACACTCAGAAGACAGGAAAATGTTTAAGATGTTTATTTAAAAAAATAAAACAGCAAGAAGTGGTGGTGGGGTTCATGAGTTGCGGTTTGGTTCTTTAGCTGTGTAGCAGAGGATGACAACGCAGTTT